CTGTATTTTCCCTTTTTCGTTTAATAAATTGGGTAATACGAGTGTAATGGTGACTAAAGGGTGTTTTTTCATGTCCTCTATGCTCTAACTACGAGGTCTAGAACCAATTAACCGCGATAAACGAGGGTTCACTGTATAGCTTAACATTTTTTTTCCATTCTTTTTTGGGAGGTATAATTACATTTTCATGGTCTAAAAAACAATGACACTATGTTAATACTATAATAATATTTCTTGGAGGAAGACTGACATCTTTATTTCCTATAGCGGAATCAATTCCACATACTGACTTTTTAATATGTCCATTATGAAGAAGAAAAGTGCTTACCTTTGCACACAGCCCAAGCATCTTCATCACATTTCTCACCACTTGTTCTTAATTCAAAAAAATTATACTCTTCAATGCTAAGAAGACCATTTCCATCTAAATCAATAACTTCAAATATATCCAATAAGGTTGACCTAAAATTATAAAAATGAAAATTATTCCTAGAAATATATTTTAAAAGTTATATCAAAGACATTAAGTAACTTTAGTGAACTATATCATTAAAGTGTCCAAATACATTTTTGCTATGCAGTTAAGAGAAAAACAACCAAAGTACATAAACATAGTAGGAAATCAATGATTTCTTTTTCCCTTCTTTAATCTATTTTCTTCTTCCTTTCTACCTGCAGCCAAATCTTATTGTCTGCATCTGGGAGTAGTACCTAATTTTCAGATTTCATATTTGCCTAGGCCTGTTCCTAGGACAGTGCCTAGCAGGGTCAAGTTGACAAATGTCTAATTAAAGTTGACTTGTCAGAGGCGTGAAACCTAGAAACAGAGGACAACCCCAAACCTGTGAATAGAATGTCAATTTCAGATTCCTAATGAAGGAGTTGAGTTACTGCATTAGATCTAGGGGTGAGTTTGGAGGCTGGGTAAAGGAATGAGGTGGGGGGATCTGGGAGTAGGGGGTGGGGGTATAGAGTCCTAATATATATCCTGGATAGATGCTATAGTTCTAAAACTTACCTAAATGCCTTTGTAAGCGATAATTCCCCCATTTCATCTCTGTATACAAGTTGGGCTTCTTCTAGTATTGGGTTTCTTTCTTTCTTCAACTTACAGCCAGTAGTGGAAGGAATTAGGCAGTATATTCCTGGTTCTAGCTCACCAGTCCACCCAAACACCTTCTTTAAAAAAAAATTCAAAACAAACATATTAAAATAAAATATTTTGTTACAGACAATTTTTTATCAATATTGACCAATTCTACTATAGTTCAAATGAAATCTGGAAATTTTCAAACAATTTAATTAATATTGCACACTAGCAAAAGTCTACAGAAACTGAATCACGGTAGCCATACAGTGATAGGTACTGTCAAGCAGGATTCCAAGGAAGACCTGTAACAAAGGCTATCACTGCTGTTTTTAGATGGATATTGGCTGTAAGTACAGAATATTCAAAAAATATTTGCATTCAACTGTATGCCTCATAACAAATTATGGAGAACATTATGAATGGGAATTCCAGACACTTAATGGTACTCATGGGGACTTTATATATGGATCAAAGGGCAGTCATCTGAACAGTTAAGGGTTCAAAATTGGAAAGGGTATGTAGTAAAGGTGTACCCTTTCCCATTCCTTATGTAATCTGCATACTGAACAAACAATCTGAGAAGTTGGACTCTGTGAAGAAAAACATGGCACCAAAATCGGAGGAAGATTCATTCATTACCAGCTTTCAATGGGCAGATGACACAAGTCTGCCAGAGGAAATAAAGATAACTGACAAATAAAGTCCTTACTGACAAAGGTAAGAAACAATAGCTTTTTGCAAGAGCCCCCAACAAAACGATCTTTTAATAAAAAATAAGAAAACAAATGTTTTGAGAATGATGAGGGCAACAAATGTACATATGTGCTTGACACAATGGATGTATATATGGATTGTGATAAGAATTGTACGAGCCCCCAATAAAATAATTTTTAAAAAATAGTAACAGAAAAAAAAAAGAAGAAGAAAAAAGAAACCTTGGTGGGGCAGTGGATTAGGCTGTTCATTGAAAGTTTCGTAGTTTGAACCCACCAGTCACTCTGGCAGAAAAAGATGAGGCTGTCTGCTCCGATAAACATTTACCGTTTCAGAAATCCTATGTAAGGTTGGAATGAGTCACAATTGGCAGGGTTTTATCTTTTTCAGTGTATTATGTAGTAAAATAATTTATTAAATAGAATAAAACTAGATGATGCCCAGTTATCACTAGCTATTCTAATCACGATCACAAACGATGGTTGCTAACAGGAAGGAAGGAAAATATGGAACAGAATCTCAAATTCCTAAAATATTAAAAAAACAAACAAACCCAGACCTACTAGGTGAATGACATTAGAGAACACCCTGAGATGACCCTTACTGGGTCTTCAAATCCTGAAACAAAACTAACCCCTTGAGGTCACCTTGTAGCTAGATTTCAAAAATTGGCTTAAAAAATTATATCACCCATAAGTGCTGTGCTGTTTTAGAGACTCTCCTGTAAGAGATTAGTCAACAATTATTTTAAAACAACGATAAGAATGTAAAGAGGCATGCAGCTAGATGGATGCAAATAAGCATCTAGAAAGGAAATGACTCATTGCGAAGGCTATAACCAACATCACGGAAAAGCCATCATTAATACAAAGAGGGGAATGGAAGGGGACAGAGCAACTGGATTGATGGAAACTACTCATTGAGAAGAACAGAACCAATGCCACTGAACAACTTCTGTAGAAACCTAAACTGCTGTGTAAACCTTTACCAAAAACACAATAAAATATTATTTAAGGGGGGAAAAGCACAAACCTATAGCTTTCAGTGTGGCTAACTGCCTCAACGACCAGCTATCAATATTGATTGTTTTGATCAAATAATCTATAGTAGAATTGTGGGCAAAGGGGAAAAAATATGGCACAGAATTTCAAATGCCTATGGAGTCCAATTCAATATTAAGATCAAAATCTTCACACTGGACCAATAGGTAACATCATGATAAATGGAGAAAGGATTGAAATTGTCAATGATTTTGTATTGCTTGGATCCACAATCAGTGCTTATGGAAGCAGGAGTCAAGAGATCAAAAGGCGTGTTGTATTAAGTAAATCTGCTATACAAGACCTCTTTAGGAAGTTACTTTGAGGATTAAGATGTGCCTGGTCTCTTATGCATGTTGGACACTGAATAGGGAAAACCAAAGAAAAAGCACTTGAAATGTGGTGCTGGAGAAGAAGCACCAAAAGTACTGTGGACTGCTAGAAGGACAAACTGAGCTGTGCTGGACGAAGTACGGCCGAGTGCTATTTAGAGGTAAGGATGGTAAGACTTCATCCTACATATTTTGGACACGCTGCCAGAAGAAACCAGTTTCTGGAGAAGGGCTCATGTTGGTAAAGGAAATGGGCAACAAAGGAGAAAGGAAGGTCCCCGAGGCGGTGGATTGACATCGTGGCTGCAGCAGCGGGTTCGCGCAGAGGAACAATTAGGAGCATGTGCCAGGATGGGCATTGCCTCATTCTGTTGAGCTTAAGTTTGCTATGGGTCAGCACCAACGGGATGGCACTTATCAACAAAATAACAACAACAAGGAGTCTAGACTTTCTAGACTAGATGATTCCTAAATAATACCCTGAGGTAATCTTTAAACCTTAAACCAAAACAATTGCCTGAAGCCATTTTTAAATCAAATAAGTTTGGTGCTACTTGTAAAGAGCATAGTATTAATAATATTTTTAAATCATTTATATTAATCATTGATATTGATATTGAAGAGCATTGATATTTTAAAAAGTATCAATATGAGATAAAACTGGCAATAGCAACTAAAAGGATTATATAGAAAACTTAGAGGCAGTGAGTTTGTTAGTGGGAAGCAATGTGAAAAAGTGTGTGCGTGTAGAATGGTTACATAGCTGGCAGGATGATGTCAGCAGCACTGAATTGTACATATGGAGGCAGTTGAACGTTTGCTGTGGGTACTTTCAACAACAACAAAGAGACTACAGCATCTAGTATGGATTATGTTTGAATGTGCACACAAAAAATCCTCACACCAATAAACACCATCATGATAAATGAAGAAAAAAATTAGAAGTTGTCAGGGATTTCATTCTCCTTAAATCAACAATGTCCATGGGTGTAGCAGTCAAGAAATTGAATAACAGCGTGCACTATAAAGACCTCTTTAGAGTTTTCAAAAGCAAAGATGTCGTTCTGAGAACTAAGACGATTGCCTCACATGCATGCAAAAGTTGGATAATGAAGACAGAGGAACTGATGTATTTGAACGATGGTGTTGGTGAAGAATAAGCTGTGAACTACCAAAAGAATGAACAAACTAGTAATTCTGTTTCAATTAGATACTGAAGTGAGGAAGACAAGACCTCAACTTGCTAACTTTGTACTGGTCATCAGGAAAGACACATTAGAAAAGGATATAATTTCAGTAAAAGAGAAGGTCATTAAAATGCGGGAGATTCTCAATGACAGACGGGCCCAATAGCCTCAATGGACACAAAAGTACCATATCATGAAATTGGCCCAGAATTAGGCAAAATTTCATTCTGTTATATACAAGGTCCCCATGAGTTGCAACTGGCTGGATAGCAACTAACAAGAAGACTGTCATTTTACCGATCTTTCATAGGTCTCAAATTCTTTTGCTTAATGAAAACTCAAGTATAAGAGCACTAGGTGCAATTCTTTATGTATTTGAAAAACAAACATATAGAACAACATGTAAGAAGCTATATATATTCTTTTTTTTTCCAGTCTTTTATTGGGAGCTCATACAACTCATCACAATCCATACATACATCCATTGTGTTAAGCACATTTGTACATATGTTGCCATCATCATTTTCAAAGCATTTTCTTTCTACTTGAGCCCTTGGTATCAGCTCATTTTTTTCCCTCCCTCCAGCTCCCACTCTCCTTCATGAACCCTTGATAATTTATAAATTATTATTTTTTCATGTCGTGCACTGTCCGATGTCTCCCTTTACCCCCTTGTCTGTTGTCCATCTCCCTGGAAGGAGGTTATAGGTAGGTCATTGTGATCGATTCCCCCTTTATCCTCCCACCTTCCCTTTCCCCTCCTGGTATGGAAGCTATGTATATTCCATATCTTCCCCCCAAATCTTCAAAAATGGTTTTGATGCAAATATCTCTAATAGGAAACAAAGAAAAATAACTTCAGATGATTTTAATGTAAATTTAATCTCTTAAAATATATATTTGTGTGATATATTTCCCTAATTTAACTTAAGTACTAATGCAAGGGGGCTTCAAAAAGTTTGTGAAAGAATTCCATTATCTGTTAATTCAATTTCTCCATGAACTTAAGGCTTCTCTGTATATAATTTGTGAAACAGCCCTCAATAACCTAAGAATAACAGTATTTTTTTTCCTCTTTTTTAACATTTTATTAGGGGCTCATACAACTGTTATCCCAATCCATACACACATCAATTGTGTAAAGCGCATTTGTACATCGTTTCTCAAAACATTTTCTCTCCATTTAAACCCCCGACATTAGGTCCTCATTTTTCCCCTCCCTCCCCGCTCCCCCTTCCCGCATGAGCCCTTGATAGTTTATAAATGGGTATTTTGTCATATCTTGCCCTGTCCAACTTCTCCCTTCATCCACTTTTCGGTTGTCTGTCCCCCAGGGAGGAGGTCACACACAGTTCCATGTAATCGGTTCCCTCTTTCCAGAATAACAGTATTTTTAAATAGTCTACTATTTGTACAAGGTAACCGTACTTCTAAGAGCCCATCTATGTGGATAAAGGCATTGGAATTTCACTACTATTTATGATAATAATAGACTATAAAACAAAGTGGCAACATCTCTATAAACCTGCCTGCACAAAACACTGTTTTCTATCAACTGCTGGATATTTATAATGAATAATGGGACATTTGTGTAGGAAAACATTTTATTCTTCTGCCCTAACAAGAAAGCAAAATGGTTTCTCTCTAGAGACTTTCTAAGAGCTTTTTAAAGCCCAAAGGCTTCCTATAAAACCTAGGGGCTGTCTCTGCCAAATATATTAAATTAAAACATCTTTTAACAGTGTATAATAGGCACACATACAAACAGCTATTTGCTTTTCAGTATAGAAGAGTCCTAAGGAATCTTGGGTCCCAAAATTCCCTTTGAAACCCAGGTACATTTAAGCTGTCCTGGGGACTCATACACAAAGTAAAGTTGTTCCCTGAATTCTAAGTTTAGCCTGTTTCTATGCTAACAAGTCAGAAGAATCATAGTCATCCTAAAGTGATTATGTCTATTTTGATACAAGAAACAATCTAATATTATAGTCATTTCAATGACTAAAGGCTGACCAAATGTACTTTCTGGAAACCATTATCTTTTAGATTGGCCAGATGTAGGCTGATATACCGGAATTGAAAAATCCGATCTTTCTACTTTCTAATATATGCTATTCCATCATGCTCTCTTATCTCCACACATAACCTTGAATTTGCCACTGTGGATGGCAAATGGCAAATCTTTCATGGGCACAAAACTCTTTCAGAAAATAATTGTGAAACTAAAAATAAAAACCTTTTGAAAATATGACACATTCCAGATAAATAGAATTCCATATAGTAAAGAGGCAAATAGAACTCATTCAAACTTTATTACAGTCTACAGACTAACATTTTTACACATGCAATCTTATAAGAAAGTCATTTTACCGAAAACAAAATGGGAAAAGCTATTGTTTTCAACAATGCTTTATCTGGAACTTAACTTTGTAGTCAGTTGTGAAGAAGAGTTTAGTCAAAACATTAACTTCTGTCATTTTATTTGTTCCTTGCCTATAACTATTCTTGTCTGTTAGGAAGCCTACAATAAAGACTTTTATATAACATTCCATCAGGGAAATGTTTGTCTGTCGTGAGCCTATATAAAAATTAAATATGATAGTGCAGTAAGCCCTTGAATAGTATTATTCCTGTTGTTGTGTAGCAGATGTATTTTGTAGTCTTCATAAAATAAATAGCCACATTTATGTATCCATCTCACATATCTGGCCTCTGAGTAAATATATAATTAGAAAAGATCAGAACAACCCCATAGGTAACATATAAAATTATTTAAAAGCATGTCATCATATCAATCTATTTTTAAATCATAATATCATTCACTGCCTGAAGGCAGTAATCTTGATGTTTTTTGTTTTGTGATAGCAGTATAACTAAGACAAACATCTGAAGCAACTTTTTACAAAATCTTGAATTGCTTGTATTTAAAGGGAAAACCCCACTGGCATGAGTCATTTTTTACTAAATATACCAGAATGTGTTCACCTATAAGCACTGGGGCATGTATAGAAGAGGAAAGTGAAGAACTAAGAAGTTGAGAGTGATTTGCTCAAGGTCATATGCTTACAATGTCTAAAGGTAAGACCTCCAATCAGACTTCAATCCTTAACCAATCTCAACAAGCAAAAAAGTCCTCGCAATTTATACAACATATGATATGAATATTGTTGAAATCCTATATATACCTTGATTGGAAGGCAGGACACAGAAGTTTGAAAAACAAAGAAAATAAATATAGAAAAAATACTATTTTCTGCACACTTGAGTTCATATTGTATTTTAAATGAAATATTAGAAAATAAATATGTATACTTCTCTATTTCGCAGTTCAGTAAAAGATACCAGCTGCAGATTTTCTGGGTTCTCATTCTCTTTGAGGATATACAAAGTAGTATCAATTGATAACCAAGGAGATAGTTTTCCTAGGGGGTGAAAAAAATAAATACCTTAAAATAAGCAATCGTTACTTACTTTTTCCAATCTAAGAAAATGGTAGGTTCTTTCCCCACTTAGTATTTTTTAGAAATACACATTCAATTTTTATAGACAATAACATAACATTTACAATCAGTTCTATATCTTTATACAGAATTCTCCTGATATTCACTGCATACTCACAATCTGAAAATTGTAACTCTTCTGGAACTTATCAGAGAGCACAGGCTACAAGGCCACCAAGTGGTCTGAAATCCAAGGAGAGGGTCAGCAAGCGCTGGCACAACTATGATGGAACACAGGAGGGGAGCTATCAGGCACCTCGTGTGTGACAATGGCAACGCTTGGGCCAAGCAGCAGCTCAGACCTTTCCTCTGAACTAGAGATCTCTGCCTGCCTACTTCCCATTTCCATTTGGATTTCTAGCTCCCCAGATGGACTCCTCACCTCTCCTAATCCCCTGAAAACAAAGAACATCCCCAACTCACCGCCCATCTGTACGCCTCTCACTTCAACGAATACTGGTCACTAAATCCTTCCAGTTGCATAGGTCAAAAGTCTTTAACTCTTTTAATCATTTACATATCATCACCAATCCACAGAAAAATTCAATGAGCATCTCCACTTTTACTCCACCATTGCCTATACGCTAGCCAGGACATTGTCATTTGTTTCCTTAGCTGTTACCATTGCAGCCTAGGTGGACTCCCCGAGTGCGCCTGTGTACCCTTGAGAGAATCTTTAACACAGCAACCTAACTGCTCTGGGTAGACCGATAAGATACGTGCTGCTTGTACTCAAAACCCTCTAAGGGAGTTGAGTAAGACGAGTATTGCTCTTACCCCTGTCAACAAGAGAAAGTGGATAAGCTAAGAAACCTACTACTTTTCCTTAAACCCAGTAGATGGTTGAGGCTACAGGAAAACAAAGTAAGGGGATAGATCCTTCCAAATAGTCAAGGGACATGAATAGTTTCTCTGGGGTGGACTGTGGAAGAGATGTCAGTCCCACACAAGTGAAAAAAGAAGAGAAAATGCAGAAGATATATTTGACCAGTAAGAGCAAAGAAATTTCTAAAAATAATGAAAGTTATCAAGCCACAAATACCAGTTCAGAAAAACCCCAAGCATAATAAGAAAACACCTAGATATATAATCAAACTGCTGAAAATCAAAGATAAAGGGAAAATCTTGACAGTAATCACGTGAGAAAAAAATCCCAAAGGTTCCCTGTTTCTCTGAGCAAAACTCAAGTCTTCATTATGGAGGGGGAAAAAATCTCTAACATAAATCTGACCTCTGTTCCTTCCTGCTTCACCTCTTACGCTCCCTCCTTGCTCAGTCCACTCTAGCTACTTCTGCCCCCGTGGTGTGCTAACACCAGCCACACTCTCACCCTCAGAACCTTGGCAGTCTTCCCTTGAAGGGGAAGGCTCTGCCACTTTCCTCTCTTTCTCCATCCCCTCTGTCATCACTACGTCTATAAAGCTTACTCTACTTTACAGTTTCACACACCACCACCACGCCCGGGCCCCCCACCCCCACCCCCGCCCCCATGGAAGACTAAAAATATAGCCACAGTTATTTACTTTTTGAACCTTCTAATATAGTCACTCCTGTTGGAGCTGTCATTATTGCTAAATTTCAAATCCTGTGATTCTGTCTGCACATGCTACAAGCCCATGTCATTGTTTTGTTGCTGTGGGCATGTTTACTGATTTTGTCAATTTCTCTGGTGTCTTAGCTACAATATTGTAGTAATTAATACTTGTGAACCTGTATGAATAACTTTCTTGAGAATGAAGTAGTAATGAAAGAAAATGAAGGAGAAAAATCGTTAAAAGACTTCTGCTCAGTTGCTAAGAATCCTGTCGTTAATGCTGTAATTTCATGTACAAAGATTTTACAAAACAATTCTGTTTAGTATTCATCAATTTAAATATATTAATTATAGTTAAGTAATTTACAACTATATAGCACCTATTATTCTACAGTTACAATTGATAAAAAAATCACAATCCCCTTTACCCGCTTAGTTTTCTTTCTCCTGGCACTTATCGCCTTCCAACTTATTTACTACCTATTATGTCTATCTCTCCCACTAGAATGTAAGCTCCATAAGAGCAGGGATTTTTGTGTCCTTTGTGCCTTAATGTATCCTAAGCACCTAAAATGAGGCTTGACAGGTAATAGGCTGTCAGTAAATACTTGTTAAATAAATGTTATTCATAAAAATATGAAGAACAACAATTTTAAGACATTGGATTTTCAAGCCTTTCTTCATTCTGCTATCTGAAAAATGACTACTGTAATTGTTACTTAAAAGTGTCAACTATCAAATGTTGCAGCCATCCTATATATATGCAGTGGAAATTTTCTGAATCTCTAAGAGGGAAAAGGAATGAGGATAGAAAACATTTTTAATAGGAAAATGTTTATCACATAGAAAAAATTAAAATCAATTTATAACAACCAATATTAAAATAGGAAAAGCCCCTTTATTGACAGCTTATACTGATTAAAAAAATCATTTTAGACAATAGGAAATTACTCTTTTCTCTAACAGCTATATAAAAAAGAAAGAGTATTATCATGAATGCAAATCTCAAAGGAATGGCTAAGTTGTATGACATAGGATTTTATAGGTATTTAAAATTATTTAGTTTCACATTATCCCGAATTATGTTCCTATAGAATTTTTCTTAAATATATATTTTTATATTCATAAACAGGAAAAGTTAAAGAATTACTTAGCAAATAAAATATAAATTCTGTATCATAAGGAAATCAGGTAATATATTCCTACTTTTAAAAATGAATTAAAATTCTTGCTTTAAACACAAATACCAAACAACATATTCTGTTTAGTGATAATCAAATATAAACATCTTTTCTTTTTTTTAAAAAATTATGTTGTTTTAATATTTAACTGTATTTATATGATTCAAAAATCCATTTAGAAGACTTTGGTTTAACATATATTTAGATGTAATATTTATTTTCCTTAAAGTCTGATATAAAATATACAGCAAAAAGTCTTTCTGCAAAATGACTGTGATTTTGCATAGGACTCATACCTTACTAATACCTTAGTAGAACTCTGGTGAAGTCATTAATAATTAATATAGAATAATTCCTGTAGACTATGATTTAATAATAAAATGTATTTTTTAATTCTTTTAATACTTTCATTCGGGGCTCTTACATTTCTTATCACAATCCATACATTCCTCCAGTGTGTCAAGTACATTTGCACATCTGCCACCACCTTCATTTTCAAAGCATTCTCTTCCCACTTGAGCCCCTGATAACAGCTCCCATTTCTTCCCCCTCCCTCCCATGCCCGCCCTTCGTAAAGAACCCTCGGTAAATTATAATTGTTTTTTCCATATCTTACATCATCCTCTGTCATCCCTGACCTACTTTTCCATTATCTGTCCCCTTGGGGGGGGGGGGTTCTAGATTGATCCTGTGATTGATTCCCCTTTTCTTCCCCCACCCTCCCCTAATCCTCCTTGTATCTCTACTCTCCTTGGCCCTGAGGCGTTTTATCCTGGATTCCTGTGTTGTAGGCTCTTATCTGTAGCAGTGCTCATGCTCTGGTCTAATCCGATTTGTAAGGTAGAATTGAGGTCATGATAGTGGGGTGAAGGAAGTACCAAAGAACTAGAGGAAAGTTATATGTTTCATCACTCCTCTCTTGTGGGAAACAGAAGGATTTCTCTCAAGCTGTCTCTCCCAAATATATACCAGACTTAGCTGCTTGAGAATGACTATACACTTGGTGGTCATCAGGAGTAGATTAGGGGTCATTCTCCCTAAGAGCAATCAGCCATCTAGACCAAGCAGACACCACTGTTTATCCCACAAGTAGGGCCCACTCCCTTCTCATAAGGATAGTAGTTGTCTGTTTCCTTGTAGGAGACACCAGAGAGGTCAAACCCACCCAAGGATGGCCAAAGTTAGGTTGCCATCATGAATCTAGGGTCTGCCCATCTTGTCAAATGTATAACCCTAGACCTTCCCATTCCTATGGGCACACCCCTAGCTCATCCCCTTCCTGTTACGCTTACGCCTATCATAGATCCCCTTCCTACAATGTGTATGCCTATTCTACAACCCCTTCCTGTGACGTATGTCTTCGCCTGTAATTAGGGGGCTTGCACATCCCCAGAGAGGATAAAAGCTTGGGAAGCATTAAAGTCTCCCTCCACATGGACCACCAAGCAGGGCTGAGGTGAGCAATGCTACCATGAATTGTGTCTGACTCCATTACTTGACTGACTCTCTTTTAACTCTCATGCTCTCTATGACTTTACTATAATCTCTACTTATTATCGCTGTACAATTGTGCCTACCGGACCTGTGATGTTTTGTGGGGAACCCTTCTCCCCTTCACTCCACACTCCCTGTGATCCCTCTGTGAGGGGATGTCCAATTGTATAATGAGAGTGGTTTAGAACTATGTACTCATATCTGTATGTTAAGAATTAAGGTTGCAGATGGCCATTGGGCCTCTACTCAAGTACTCCCTTAACACAAGAACACTTGCTCTGACAATCCGGCATTTTGTGATGCTAACCTTCCTGACACAATCACTGAAGACAAAATGGGTACGCAGGCAAATGTGGTGAAAAAAGCTGATGGTGCCCGGCTATCAAAAGATATATAGCATCTGGGGTCTTAAAGGCTTGAAGATAAACAAGCACCCTCTAGCTGAGAAGCAACAAAGCCCACATGGAAGAAGCACACCAGCCTGTGTGATCATGAGGTGTTGATGGGATCAGGTATCAGGCATCGAAGACCCAGAATAAAACCATATCCAAAGTGTATGGGGGTAGGGCATGAAGTGGAGACCCAATGCCCATCTGTAGACAATTGGACATCACCTTATTTCTTCAAAATGTAATCAAATATGATTTTTACTTAGACAGTTTTCTTCACTAATACTATCAAATTTTTACATAGATGTTTACATATAAGGCACAATATGACATTTAAAGAAATAAAGAGAAAATTTAAACTTGCCTTCGACTTGACTCAAGTTTAGTGGCTTAATTGTTATATAAACCATGGACCTCTGAGCTACTTGCATCCTGTAATGATGACTAATGATTTCACTGTCTTCTTCTAAGAAGAAGCAACCTTTTGATTGTGCACATTGCCACTCCTGAAATAGAGGGAAACATTGTTTTAGTGTTTGTTAAATGTTTTTAGCATGTATAGCAATAAGGACACACCTAAGGAAAATATAAAGAAATGTCAACATAGTCATTGTCCTTGAGGATTTTGAAAGCGTAAAGGATTCTTCGTTGAAGTTCAGGGAAATTAAGCATAGATGTGTACAGAAATGTTTTTCACTGTGTCACTAGTAGGCTTGTATACTTGTAACTTTTGTTCTAACGACTCCCCCAAACAGAATATTACTGAGGCTTTGATATTACTTTGTGAAGAATTACATGTAAGATGTTTAGATAATAAATTCAAAGATTTATTAATATTAAAATAACTAAGGTAACTACTGAAAAAGTGGGAATTAGCTGTATCACAATGATATAGTATTTTTAATCCATTGAAAGAAAAAACCAAAAATAACTTTTATGTTTACATTTTTTACGCCTACATTATCCTAATATGTTGTGACACATCAGTTTTCTATTATACAAGTCATAATATTACATCCCTAAAACCAAAATACTAATTTAAATTTTCTGATTTAAAAATAGAAACTTAAAAAAACAAAACAGTCCCTGTAATTCTACCCCCGTAGGCTGTTACGTGATATGTTTTAATACTGGTCTCATATATAAACCTATTTTTAAATTTTATTTTATTATTCTTAATTTCAATACATATTTTTAATATAGTGATTTAGGACTGTAAATGACATGGAAAGGCATCATTTTCAATCACTTTGCATTGGACCTCTGAAATAAGTTCACAAATTTACTACCATACAGATTTAACAAAAATAAAAAGGTTTTACAAATTGATTCAAGTATATTTTGGTTATCACATGGGTCCCCATATCAAATATACAAGTTATTTTTATTTAAATTGACCAAATCGTAAAACTATTATCATAAATCCATTTCAGAACATTTTTATCACCCGTGATAGCTCTATTTTGCCAAGGCCTGTACACTTAAAAGCAATCACAAATCTACAAGTTTGAGTTTAGTTGTTGTTTTTTTAAACATTTTATTAGGGGCTCATACAACTGTTAGCGCAATCCATACACACATCAATTGTGTAAAGCGCATTTGTACATCATTCTCAAAACATTTCTCTCCACTTAAACCCCTGACATTAGGTCCTCATTTTTCCCCTCCCTCCCCGCTCCCCCCTCCCTTATGAGCCCTTGATAGTTTATAAATTGGTATTTTGTCATATCTTGCCCTGTCCAACGTCTCCCTTCACCCACTTTTCGGTTGTCTGTCCCCCAGGGAGGAGGTCACATATAGTTCCTTGTAATCGGTTCCCTTTCCTACCCATTCTTCCTTTACCCTCCCTGTTTCACCACTCACATCACTAGTCCTGTAGGGCTCATCCGCCCTGGATTCCCTGTAGAGTTTAGTTTAGTTTAGTTTTTTTAAAAAAGATTTTATAGTTTATTGATTTTCTGGTGAAAAATCCACATAACCTTTGCAGATCAAGTCATGTAAATCTTTATTCTTTCATTTCCTGCACTGACATTGGCCTCTGCAGCCCCCCGACTGTCTTCATCCAGTCCTTGTGTTCCCTGTGCTGTTTTCCTGAGGTCTTTTACATTTTTCTTTTAAATCATTTTATTGGGGGCTCATACAACTCTTATCACAATCCATCCATCCATCAATGGTGTGAAGCACATTTGTACATTTGTTGCCATCATCCTTCTCAAAACATTTGCTTTCTACTTGAGCCCTTAGTATCAACTAATTTTTTCCCTCCCTCCCTCACAAATCTTTGATAATTTATAACTTTTTTTTTCATGTCTTACACTGACTGATGTCTCCCTTCACCCACTTTTCTGTTGTCCATCCCCCATGGAGGGGGTTATATATAGATCATTGTGATTGGTTCCGCCTTTCTCTCTCACCTTCCCCTTACCCTCTACTCTCATTGGTCCTGAAGGGTTTATCTGTCCTGGATCCCTGTTTCCAGCTCTTATCTGTACCGGCGTGAATCCTCTGGTGTAGCCAGAAGTCGGGGGGAGGAAGCAATAAAGAACTAGAGGCAAGTTGTATGTTTCATCAGTGCTATACTGCACCCTGACTGGCTCCTCTCCTTCCTGTGACCGTTCTGTAAGGGGGTGTCCAGTTGCCTACAGATGGGCTTTGGGTCTCCACTCCACACTCCCTCTCATTCACAATATGATTTTTTGTTCTTTGATATCTCATCCCTGATCCCATCAACACCTTGTGATCACACAGGCTGGTGTGCTTTGTTGCTTCTCAGCTAGATGGCCGCTTGTTTACCTTCAAGCCTTTAAGACACCAGATGCTTTATCTTTTGATAGCCAGACACCATCAGATTTCTTCACCACACTTGCTTATGTACCTGCTTTGTCTCTATTTTCACATTTTAATTAACACCATTTTACACTCTACTTTTTTCATTTAATATCACATGAAATAATTTTTCCAAACCATGTTCAAATTTGTATTCAACTAACATTAATTTGATATACCATAATTTATTTATTTTTAAAATTTTACACATATAGGACACCTGTAATTTCTGATTAGAATAATGCTAAAATGAGTACTATTCTGTCTATATAGTTTTTTTCTAATGAGTTATTTCCTTGAGAACTTCTAGGCAAAAAGTGTGTGTATATATATAATATATATATATCTATATATAAAACTATCAACATGTCTTCCCGTATTACTTTATAAAGCTGTTGTGCCAATTTTACACCACCACCAATGGTCCATGTGTAATAATTTTACCCTTCCCATTGCTTGCTCAGTATTCAGCAAGAAATAAAATAGATAGTGAGGGTAAGGTAATTTCTTAAGCAAGAGATGGGTACATGAAATGTTCACTATGGCATTCAATATTTCAGTGTGCCAGGAGTGTTTCATAATAAAAACTGATATTTGAGTTTTGCACTAATTTGAGCTTCTCTGATTACTATCAAAGTTGAACATATCCCCCATGTGGTGGTTATGTTAATTTTCTTTGGTTTGACAATCTATTCATATCCTAGCCTTATAAATCTATTGAAGGCTTGGACTTTTTCTTATGCAACTTAACAGATTCCTTGACTGTCTTACATATTAGTCACTTTCATACGTTTTGATGCACGTATTTCCAAGTTTTAGCTATTTTTCAACTTAGGCTTTCCATTTTCATCTTTTCTCTAAAGATTTCATGGACTAAGTTTTAAGATTTTACCACTATTTGGTGCTGTCAAAGCCATCCGCAATTTTATGCACATATTATTATATCTGCAGGTCCACCTAGATAAGATAGGCTGGACAAACAATGTGAGAAGAAAACAACGGGACCAACGGTCCTGGAGGGACATGAGAGTGTGGGAGGTAGGGGAAAGGAGGAGGTGTTGGCCAACCCAGGGACAAGGGAACAACGAGTGATTCAAAACCAGTGGCAGGGAAAGGATGGGAGAAGGTAAGGAGTGACCAAGGGTAAGGTAACAGAGAAGAATTACCGAAACCAGAATGAAGGCTGAACATGATACTGGGACAGGAGGAAAGCGTAAGGAAATAGAGGAAAGGAGTAGGAGGCAGAGGGCATACACAGAAGTCTAGATACAGACATGTACATGTACATGTAATAGAGTTCCTCACATTGTGGTGACCGCCAAGCATAAATTATTTTTGTTGCTACTTCATAACTGTAATTTTGCTATGTTATGAATCATAATATAAATATCTGATACTCAGGAGGTATTTTCATTGTTACAAATTGAACATAATTAAAGCACAGTGATTAATCACAAAACAATATGTAATTATATACTGTGAAATATTTATGTGTTTTCTGATGGTCTTAGGTGACCCCTGTGAAAGGTTTGTTCGACCCCCAAAGGGGTTGCGACGCACAGGTTGAGAACTGCTGCTCTAGAGGGTTGCTATGAGGTAGAAAGAACTTGATGGTAGTGGGCTTGGCTTTTGGTAGAGCAATTCTACTAACTTTCACACAGTAACTAACTATACACACTGCCACCCTTGGAGATGTCTAAAATATGTATAATTCTGAAAAATTAAAATGTGCTCAATACACTACTGAAATTAATCTTCACAAGTATATTGTCCATAACAGATGTAAGGCATACATATTTTAGTAACATTTTTAATAAGGCAGTATAGGGTAAAGAGGCATTTTATGAGGTAACAGTACATAGGTTCATAGGATTTACAAGAAATTTATAGAAATATTAGTTCTAAATGTTTAAGGCTTTTAGATTAATGCTTTTATGTTGAGGGGATCAGGTATCTGTCATCAAAAAACAAAAAAGCATATCATTGTGAATGAGGAGGAGTGCAGAATGGGAACCCAAAGCTCATCTGTGGGCAACTGGACATCCCCTTACAGAGGAGTCACGGGGGGTGGATGGGCCTGTCAGGGTGCAGTGTAGCAAGGATGAGCCATTCAACGTTCCTCTAGTTCTTAAATGCTTCCTTCCCCCCACTATCATGATCCCAATTCTACCTTACAAATCTGGTTAGACTAGAGCATGTACACTGGTACAGATAGGAACTGGAAACACAGGGAATCCAGGACAGATGAACTCCTTAGGACCAGTGGTGAGAATGGCGATGCCAGGAGGGTGGAGGGAGGGTGGGGGAGAAAGGTGGAACAGATTACAAGGATCTACATAAGGCCTCCTCCTTGGGGGACAGACAGCGGAGAATTGGGTGAGGGGAGACATCGGACAGTGTAAGATATGATAAAATAATAATAATTTATAAACTATCGCGGGTTCATGGGGAAGAGGGGAGGGGAGAAGGGGGAGGAAGGGGAAAAATGAGGAGTAGATACTAGGGGCTGAAGGACAAAGCAAATGTTTTGGGGAAAATGAGGGAAACAAATGTACAAATGTGATTGACACAATGAATGTATGTGTGGATTGTGACAAGTTGTACAAGCCCCCAATAAAATGATTTAATAAAAAAAATAGATTGTGTTTCTAAAATAAAACTTAAGGAACCAAATTTTTAA